CCAAATCCCCTCCGAGCAGACGAAGATACACCGAAAGAGTGTGCTGGCGAAGCCTCGCGCCCAGAGGCGTCGATATCGGCTGAAAAAGAAAATATCGTAGCGTCGACAAAAGTTGGCGGTTTCGTCGCAGTTCAACTTGCTCCTCGGACACTGTCGTCTCAATGCAACGCAATATGACCTTCACGCACCAAAGCTTTTTCTCAAATGTAGCCTTCGGCGCCGTTGCCTGCCTCAAGACATGATCGAGCCGACGCACGTCCCATGGATACAAGCCGGCTTCCCTGCTCCCCAGGCTCCAACACTTTTCAGACTTCGCAAGTGCCATGTATAAAATCACCCTTTTCCCTTTTCCGACGGCCTCCCCTTTTCCAGAAGCAAAAAAATAAAAAGAGGGGGGAAGAGGATGTACGTGCGAAAAAAATAAAAAATATATAATATAATGGGTAGGTCGCATCCAAAAACATGCAGCGTCCCAAGGAGTTCCCTCCGCAAGGAAAAATTTGTGGCACCGCCAACACTTTCCTTTTCTTCTCTCACACTTTTTGCCCTCTTCTCCTTTCCGCCAATTTATATGCACATACACACAGGCACTCCAAAAAATGGCGCCCAAACTCCTTTCCAGCAAAAGAAAAAAAAAAAAAAACGGCCATCCATGGGGATAACCATGCCGCGCAAAAAATCGGCTTCACACTTTTGTATTTTATTTCTTTGTTCATTTTTGTACTCCTTTCATGGTTTTAGGGTCAAAATGCGCACCACTGCCGTCTCCGGATCATATATCGTCAGTTTCGCTGCCGAGCCAGTCTTTTGCATTGCCGTGGTGAAATCATCTCGTCGGGTCACAAGGGCGTCTCCCACGTGAGAAATGATTTGGCCGGGGCTAATTCTGGCCTTCGATGCGAGTGAATTTGGCGCCACTTCCGTGACGATAAGACCCTCCACGTCATTGCCACCATCCCGCAGACGCAATCCCAACGGCCTGTCGTCTCCCGCTGCCGCAGTGGATGCTCCAGTCTCGGACGGCCCTGCCGTGGGCACGACAGAAATTTCATCGTCCACAACCCCAGAAGAATGTCTTTTTTTCAACATCTGGGCAATGACGCGTTCGACGCTCTTAAGCCGCCCGCAGAGCGCATCTATTTCGATTCGGGGTACAACTTGTTGCTCCATAATTTTTAGGCGCTCGACGCAAAATGCACACTCTGCCATCGCACGGTGCATGACCTCTAAGGGCTCTGTCTTTAGCAGCCGGAACCCATCCGATACGTAATCACGATATCCCTCCAACATTTTGTGCAGTGCCTTTTGGGAAGAAAGACCCACTTTATGCACCTCCATTTTGGCGCGCTCGACCTCCGTATTCATCGACTCCAGCCAGCCCATACGCAGCAATTCTAACTCCTCACGAGCCCGGTCCACCGCATCGCTCACCACACGGTCTCTAAAGGCCGCCATCTCCGTGAAGTTGCTCATTTTCATCTCCCGGAGCTTCTTGGAGCTTGTCGCCATGGCAATATCGTTTATCTTCCTTAAATCCGACGCATACGCACGCAAAGTCCTCTCTGCCGCAAGAAGAACCTCCTTTTCAGTACCAGGAGCCTCTGGCTGCGTCACAGTTTGTGTCCCCATCTCTGGTTGAGGCGCCGCTGCCGCAACCATCCCTCGATCGGCGCGCAGTGGTGGAGCAGCGTTTTCAAACGGTGCAGATCGCAGTTCCTGTTTAAACAACTCGGTTTCGTTGGCGTGCGCCACAAGCAGCGTGAGTACGTCGAGAAGGTATGAAGGGCACGTCCCACTTTTTTGCAAAAGATCAAACTTACGATTAAGAGCCGCAGTCATTATTTATTATTATTATTATTATTATTATTGGGTCTGTATGTGTGCACGGAGGAGGTAGTGGCTTTCTTTCAGGGCCACGTGAGTCTACAAAAATGAGAAGAGGATTAGAACAAGAAAAAAAAAAGACGTGGAGGAAACGAAAAGAGGCACAAAAAAAAAGAAGAAGCAAGCGGAAAAGAAAAATTATACAGCAAGTGGGTGCTCCGCAACAACCCTGTCATATTACGATCACCAGAAAAAACACGGCCCCCCCTTTTGGATGATACCCGCTTCAGAGCGTCAATGCACAGTTCGATTTCCTCCCCACCTTCCGCAAGGCCAACTGGTACTTCTGCATGAATTCCACTGCAACAGGGATCTCGGACGGAACACGATCCTTCGCGATGAGGGCGAACGGCGTCTCCCGCTCCTCCATCATTTCAAGAAGGAAAAAAAGGCCCTTCTCCGTCACTCTCGTTCCACTGATGTCAAGCAGCTCCACCTGCGATAGCGACGGAGAAAAACGCAAGACGTGCGCCAAAAAGATAACAGAATTGTCATCCAAAAACCGGTTCCGCACGGCGCGAATACGCTTGACATTGCTGAAATGATCGTTTGCGAGCGCAATGGCAATGGGAATTAGCGGGACATTAGAAAAGTCCAGGTCCTCCGAGATGGATGCAAGAACAGCAAACAGGGCGTCTCTATCATTCCCCTTCACCTCAGTTGCAAAGAGACGAAGTAACTGGTCTATCAAACGACTGGCCCTCGCCGTGGCGTTCTGCACCCGCTGAAGCTGGACAGTCTGGTCAAGAATACGCCTCTGCACGGCCGCTGCATCTCGCCGCAGCTCCGAGATGGTCTTCCGGTCCCCGTCGCCATACATTTCCACCTCCCGGAGTCGCAACCCGTCTCTGTGTGTTCCGCTCGTACTTCTGCTTCCCTTCCCACCTTGGAGCAAAAATGTAATTGCTGTGCGCAGCAAACAACAACTCCGCCAACACGGTAGAAATAGAAGCCCGAGAAAGAAGTAAAAAAAAAGAGGGGGCGATGATGAGGGGATAATTAAGGAAGGATCCATTGAACGACCAACAAAGCCGTAGGTTACGGTTACTTTGCGTCAAAGAGCATCCAGAAAATAGCTCCACGCAAAGAATCCATTTATTTTTGCCTTTCTTGTGTAAATTAAAATTTAGCGGCGTCGTTTTTTTCTAGTCGCTTTTGTTTTGACGCCCTCTTTAAAGGAGACATCCCTGAGGTGCACCTTGAGGTAGTCGAGGTGAATTGTCTCGCTGCGTCCGGCACCGTCCTTTACCTCCACAGTGGGATCCTTAAGAAGAATGGTCCACATGCCGTCATGTACACGGTAGACAGGGTACGTCACACCCTCGTCCAACACCCCACAGCAAGCAAGCGACGCCGTTGGTGAGCATTGTGGTAATGAATTCGCAGGGAACACCATGCGTGTGGGTTTGGTAGAGAGCGCAGCCGGAGCCGCCGCAACGCCACCACCGTCACCATCCATTCTATTATTCCTCTCCTGAATCGATGGAGATGGTGAGAACACACGCACCTGCGACGTGACGGGTGACTCCGCCAGCGCTCGTTCCATAGCAATGTCAAAAATGTCCCACAACTCCTCCTTTTGCCCTTCGCTGAGACAACAGACGGAATCCAACTCCGCCAGCGTCGCCGCCAGAGCAACGCCAAACAAACTCTCGCGGTACATAAACGCAAATTAAGCCGCTACACTTTACAAAAACAAAAAAAAAGGCAGCACTAAAAAAAGAAAAAAAACGTTGAAGAAAATCCAGAAAGCGTAGACAATGTTTACAAAACCGCTGCAATGTAATTTAAAGAGCGCCCCCATTCCTCTCAGGTAAACATATACCCTTCTTCTCGTTCTTTTCCTTCTGTCCTAATATTACTGGCTCCGGTCTGGCCGTTTCCTTTCATCCTTTTATTTTGTTGTTGTTGTTACTCCTTCCCTCCTCCTTCTTGCTTTCTTCCGTTACAAAGACCCCTGCGGCTGCGGCCCAGCCAAGCCATAGGCCTTCTTTACGTATTGAAGACGCTCAAGAGCCTGCCTCGACTGCCTCGCTGCCGCTTCCTCGCTGGGGATCCTTGACGCATCGCCCTTGGCGTACTCCATCAGGGACTGCTGGGCTTCATTCCGCACGTTGAGCACAGTGCAGGCCCAAAGACTCTGCACCAAGGTTGCCCCGTCAAGAGCATCGCAGTGGGCAGCCAATAGCTGCGTGCAGATGTGAACAAGCTCATCGCTTCTTTCCTGTACAGCAGCGAAGCTAGCAAGTACTCCAGCGGCGTCAACAGGACTGACATACCCGCCCTGTTTCACAATGGACACAAAGCGAGACGCAAGCAACGGAAACAGCTCACCATCAAAAAGATCAAACGACCCAAGAGCATTCAATGTGAGATTAATCTCGTCCGCTCGGAAGTCAGCTGCGACTTTGCAAGCTCGCTCCGCAAGTGCGCCAAACACCTCCTCTGTCAAAACATTTGCACGGTAAAATGCGTCACATGTCTTTGCAATAGATGTGGGATCAAATGTGTTGCCGATAGCTATTATGCGTTCACCGCACGCGGTAAAGAGAGGCGAAGAAGCTCTTCCTGCTTTTACCAAGCATCCGATAAGGGATGCCATAAGCGGGGCCGGCAACTCGCTCAGTTCCTTC